CATTTTTTGAAGTACAAGAAATTGGCTTTCCTGTTTAAACAAAATCGGATGTTGTCTTTGTCTCTAAACAAAAACCCAGAGGTGGGACAAATGTATGTCTCACCGTTGAAATGTGCACTGATGACATATTGGGGTGCAGAGGCCATTGCATATGATTGTTTGAAGGTTTGAAGGTTGGAAGGTTTGAAGTTTATCAGTTATTTGAAGGTTTGAAGGCTTGATCGTTTGAAGGTTCGAAGGTTCGAAGGTTTGAAGGTTTGATTGTTTGAGGGTTTGAAGGTTGGAAGGTTTGAGAGATTAAGTGAATCAGTGCTTTGATAAATGTAAGACTAAATAGGTCATACAGAATTTGAATTAACTAAGGCTGTAACCTCTAAGGCTCCTCCCATCACGTCCAATAGTGTCACCTAGGCTGTCACCTAGCCTGCGCCTACTCTGTAACCCATGCCACCTCTTATTCACCAATGGGGATGGCGACACCTTTCATTTTTGTACTCTTTCGCTAAGTCCAATGACGCCTCTCTTCATGTCCAATCGTGTTACATGCATGCATATATGCCTTCTCCAAGGATGTCACCTAGCCTGCGCCTACTCTGCAACTACACTGTAACCTCTAAGGCTCCTCCCATCACGTCCAATAGTGTTACATGCATTCATGGATGCCTTCTCCAAGGCTGTCACCTAGCCCGCACGTACTTTGCACCTACACTGTAACCTCTAAGGCTCCTCCCATCACCTCCAATAGTATTACATGCATTCAGGGATGCCTTCTCCAAGGCTGTCACCTAGCCTGCGCCTACTCTGCAACCCATGCCACCTCTTATTCACCAATGGGGATGGTGACACCTTTCATTTTTGTACTCTTTCGCCAAGTCCAATGGTGCCTCCTTTCATGTCCAATCGTGTTACATGCATGCAGAGATGCCTTCTCCAAGGCTTCCACCTTGCCTGCGCCTACACTGCAAGAGTGACACGTATCATGCATACATGCACCAGCTACCACCTCACTTACTCTATGAAATTTTTTGCCTATAAATACAGAGCATAACATACTTCTCTCGCACCCACAATCGTCTCACTCTCTGCCACAAACTCTTTCATAATCTCTTACAATTTCTAAGTCTTTCATAATCTCAGACATTTTCAACAATGGCTCTTCTCACAATGGGCGATTCTCACAGAGGCACAAGGGACAACATTGCAGCATTTGTAAGTTTCTTTTATAGTTATAAATTTTTCATACTTCTGGTAATGCTTTGTTCATCTTACTTAATCTTACACCCTTTACATTATTAACTCAGGATAGCAAAAGATTCAGAACCCGGTCTCACAACTACCTTGCTCCCGACCCATTTATCGTACCATATCTGGAATACGCAGGTTTCAGACATGCTATAAAGATCTCCAACTGCATAATTGATTCAAAGTTCATACTTGCAATGTTGGAAAGGTGAAGACCAGAGACCCATACATTTCGCCTACCAATAGGTGAATGTACTGTCATGCTAGAGGACGTGTACATGTTACTGGGTCTCCCTGTCGGTGGTAAGGCCGTTAACGGGTTGGTTCAACAACCCAATTCTCTGTGTGAAGAACTGTTGGGCAGGGATATGGTTGAAGGTGGTGGTGGTGCGAGAGGCCAGGGTATACTACTAACTGAGCTTAAAAATCATTATGCGACTTTGGAATTAAACAAAAATTCCTCCGAGCAAGACAATGTAATAAAAGCTAGAACTTATCTAATGATACTATTTGGAACCTTTTTATTTCCCGAAAGTACGGGAAATAGTGTAAATTTTATGTATTTAAATTTACTTAGAGAATTCGAAAAAACTAGAAAGTATATTTGAGGTTCTGCAGTTTTAGCCCACCTATACAGTTCCTTGTGTAAAAATGCAATCAAGGAAAAATGTACATTTTTTGGCTGCACTTTTTTAATTCAAGCCTGGGGTTGGTGGAGGATGGAGTCCCTAAACCCCGTCATTAACAACACATTCGTTTTCCCGTACGTAACAAAGTAAGTCATCAAGTTATATCATTTATTACTATTCATCTCTTTACGTAATATATGATAAAAATAAAATATTTTTCATTTCCTTTAGGTATTGCGTGAGGGGTATGGATTACGGCAAGAATCCAAGATTCAATGTCGCACTATACTGCAATCTATTGGATCACCTAGGCCCGGATGATGTACGTCGTACCTTTTAACTTTTCTACTTTTAAATTATTTATATATTACATTTTCATTAACCTGATTTAATTTTATGCGCAGTTTTTCTGGAGACCATATTTGGGTTTGGGCCATGAACCAAACCCCGAGGATGCAGCTATTTGGAGTGCCAAGACTGCAATCATACGGTTCAATATTGTCGAGATGCACCACAGCGACCGTGTGAAGATGCAGTTCGGAATGCATCAAGAGATACCCAGTGATCCGACTTGTTTGTCCCTGTTGCATCTCAAAAGGGTTGACGCCCAATGAGGTCTTACCAACTGGAAAGACTTTGCTCCAGAATGGTGTAAGATGTGGCAGAGGCATCACCGACATGTCTTGCAATTCTCGGTTTTCCTCAATCATGGTAATATGCGACACACAAATCAGTATTTATCTTGGTACAGGTCGGTTAGTAACCCTGAAATTCACGTGTCTCATCTAAGGTATTTGGTTGACCCACGAACACAATGGGCACAACCCTAATTTCCCCAACAATAAACCCAACAGACATCAACCTCCCACCAACCCTCCAGACAAAACAGAACCACAAACACCCAACCACAGTCACCACCACAATACAATTATCCCCATATGCCTCACACCCAACCGCAATTTCAATCACAATACTAACACACCCGCATACCCACACACAATTTTAGTCTTATGTATATCCCAATATGGGCCCCTCAACATCCAACCTTAGCCCTGATCTGGAAATGTCGGAAGATTATGAACCAACCGACCCAAGTTACCATCAACCACAGTATCACCAAACCACCCAACATCCTCAATACCAAACACCCCAAGATCCATTTCCTTTCTACCCCCCATACTCAGACGATCAATGCTACAAACCAACCATGGAACCCCACCCACCGCCAACACGACCAAACTTTGAGGGTATGGGTAACCGACTGTACCAAAGCGGCTCTTCTAGATATGGAGATCTGACTGATTTCATGGACCCAGAATGCATTGACTTTGCTGGGTCATCGACCCTGCCACAGCAGGAAACGCGACAACACCCAACACGAGAAAGGCGAGGACGGAGATGCAGAACCGGGGGTCATTACCGGGTTCCGGGGGACCACTGATTAATCCATTTTTTATTTAATCTGTTTTTTTATGTAATACTTATGGGTGTAATCATTATTTGTAAATAAAAAGTCAATTTTATTGATCCTATATCGAATACGTAACGCACCGGATTGAAAAAAAACGCGAAAATTGCCCTAGCAAATTGCCCTATTCAAAGAAAAATTAAAAAAATTACATCTCATAATACAATAAATAAAAAGTTGTTAACAAAATAGAGACAAAATTGAATTGAATTTACCTTAAAACATGAATAGAGAATAAGCAATTTTATGAAGAAGAAAATGGTTATGGAGGGATGGAATGAGGAGAAGAGGGTCGAAGAAGAAGGGTTTTTATTTTAACATAACACTACTGTCTGTCTGTGAAGCGTGAGTGAAATAAATATATAAAGCACTTAGCGACGTGAAAATCACGCCGCAACGTTGCCACGTGATTTTCACGTCACAACCATCCCAACAGACATATTCTCTTTCTTCACATGCCTCCAATGCCTGAACACGCCAGTCTGTAATGATTGGATTTTTCCCTCTTAAATGTTGCGACGTGAATAACACGTCGCAACTCACTTTTTCAAAATTTCAAAATGACAACCATCAGAACGTTAGACCAATTAAATTATTTTTTATTTTATTTTTAGTAGCGACGTGTATCCCACGTCGCAATATATTATTTTTTATAAAAAAAAACAGACAACCATCAGACTTCTTTATTTTATTAATAAAATATGTTGCCACGTGATTTTCACGTCGCAACTGACTTTTTTTAGCCACATGAAAATCATGTGGCAAAATTACGTGGCTGGAGATGATATTTCTTGTAGTGCTAAGGCGCCATCTCACTTGGCTTAGGGCAAGTCCTAAGCACCTAGGCGCCAAGTGAGATGGCGCCTCCTCTTAAAAAGTAGGTGTATGCGCCAAGTGAGATGGCGCCTCCTTTGGGGAGTCATCTGAAACATGATTATTTACGTAATTTTTTCCGAAACATAGTTATTTACGATTTTTTTTAATACCTGATTATTCTAAAAAAAAATTCAAAAAATTAACTAGTTTTCTCTCTTAATGAAAAAAACTTATAAAATAAGTTTAATTGTTTTAAAAATTAATACAACAATAATTTTTTAAATACTTTAATTTACTTATCGAATCTCATATAAATGTAATAATAGATCTTTTTCTACCAATACAATAAGAAGTTAATTTATATTTTACAAACATGTTTGTTTAATTTCCACTAGCATAACAACTTTTCACGATTTCAGTTGTCTTTTAGTTATTTTTTATCCCAAAAATAGATAATCAATATTAAGTATAACTTAATTAATGTAACTTCACCGATCACAAATTTAACCATAACTTTTACTTGTCCTAGTATCTTTTTCGATGACCCTCACAATTAATCACTTGTTAACAATAAGTTAATTGGTTTAAAACAACCACAAAAGCTGTTAAATGAACAGTATAAAAAAATCATGTATCTATTTTTTATATTATCTATTTGTTTTATTATAGAAGGAAAATTCCAAAACAAAAAAGCGCGTTTGCCTGGAATAAATCAAACTTGCAAATTCCATCTCTATCTTGGTATTTTCATTGTAAACTTCTCATTGGATAGCTATAAGCAAAAAAAGATACCAAATAAATCTTCATATTTTCCAAGAATCTAATCAAGAAATTTCCATCCACTGATGAATTCTTCTTCTTCAGGTAATATGTAAACTCAAATTTCTTCTTTTCAACTTCTATATCAAACTATATACTAATATGATTTTTGTAACTACTTCAGCAAAAGAATCTACAACTCCAAACATGGAGCACAAGAAAGCAACACATAGAAAAAATCGAAGTTTCGCATTCAGAGTTCATGAACATGGTACGTCATAATATATCATATATCTGTTATTCAATAAATCTAAAAAAGAAAAAAAATTGTTTATAATAGTTACCATAGTAAATATATATATATATATATATATATATATATATATATATATATATATATATATATATATATATATATATATATATATATATATATATATATATATATATATATATGTTGGTTTGGAGTAAAACTACGTCATAAATTATGAAAAACTTCGTGATATATCATTTATTCGATAAATATGAAAAAAATATTTACTTGGAAAATATATGTATATTGAATTGCACTAAAACTAAGTCATAAACTATCAGAAATTTCACGATATATTAGTTATTTAATAAATTTGAAAATAAAATATTTGCTTATAATAATGATCGTAATAAAAATATATGTCGGATAATGTAGTAAAACTAGGTCATAAACTATCGGAAACTTTGAAGGGCAAATTGAGTTTAGGTGCAAGGATTATACAAGAAGGTGGAAGAAGGAACATTTTCAAGAACATTTTTGGTATGGAAGAAGGAGAGAAGGTTTTGAAAGCTTCACAATGCTATTTATACACGACCGTGGGTCCTATTGCCGGAGTTCTTTATATCTCAACCAAGAAAGTTGCATTTTGTAGTGAAAGACCAATAACTGTCTCTTCTGCAACAACAGGAGAGTCGCACAAAGTACCGTATAAGGTGCGAAATTGTTAAGAGTCTCGCGTTGAATAATAATGTAGTTTGATTTTGATTAGGTTTATTTTTGTTATGCAGGTTTTGATACCGAATGGGAAGATAAAAGAAGTTAATGAAGGGCATGATGTGGATCAAAAGGAACAAAAGTATATAGAAATTGTTTCTCAAGAGGATTCTGAATTTTGGTTTATGGGATTTTTTCGATATGAGAAAGCTTTTAGGAATCTTCAGAAAGCAATTTCTATGTCCATTTAGAAAAACAGAAGTATATAGGAATTGTTAGAATTAGTTGAATGTTGTTTATGGTAGTTACAAGTTAGTTGGAATTAGTTGCTAGTTTGTTATGTTAGTCATGTTAGCATTATTATTATATAAAGTGATCATGTAATTATGGTAACCAACTTCTTCATTTTATCATTAGTGATACAACAATGCAAAATGGAAACATAGATTACAGCTTATAAAATCACATAAAGAGGAAAGAAAGATTAGAAACAAAATTTTGTGCAAGATTGCTCAACCTAATAAGATGATTGACATTGGTATTGAACTGTGAGAGATACCACCACATCTCTTTTTGGCAAACTTAATAAGCTCTTGGTTAATGTCATCTCTAATAGATATAACTCAGGATGTTTGTATTCTCTCTTAGGACCTGTTTGGATAAGTAGTTTATTTACAGTTTATAGTGTTAGAACATATACAAAATAAAGTTGGTGAACTAATGGTGAAAAATGATTAATTGGAGAAGATGAAGTTTAGAGAAAAAAAATAGAGATTATTAAAGAGAGAGAGAGAGAGAGAGAGTAATTTAAGAGAAACTCATAAAATGACGTTAATCAAAACACATTACATGAGAGTTTATATAGGATACAATTTAAAACAACTTTGGCATCCAACAGACCCAATAAATTAGCAAAAACACTAAACTGTTGTGCTGGAAACCGGTTTCTAGAAACAGGGAAACCGATTTCCTTAACAGGAAAATAGAATTGGAAGACAAAAATTTATGACAGAAATCGATTTCCTCAAACTGGGAAATCAGTTTATCCTTCGAAACACATAAGCTTTGCAACTTTCAGAAGTGCTTTTCAAATAAGCTGTTTTGCATGAAACAAACTTAGAAACTTCTAGAGTGCATTTGAATTATATCCAACATCCAATACACCACCTTAATTCAAATGCTCAACATCCTTCATACCTAAACTCCTCAAAAGCTTCTTGAACACATCATTTGTCACAGTAACGCCCTGATATTTAATTATTTATTTAATTAAATATTTTTGAATTTATTTTTTTATTAATTCAAATTTTTATCGTCGAAGTCAGAATTATTTTATTAAGTTGGAATAATAATTAATCGGATTTAATTTGGTGGAATTAAGTTAAAGTGTTATTTTATTAATTAAGCTTAAATATGATATTGGGCTTAATTGGTGGTGTTGTGTAGTAATAGAGGGGTATGTCATTTAGGCCCATTTGAGTTTTTTAAGATTAAATAATAAAATATGACTATTATATTGGATATAGAATTAGAGGAAATAGGAGAGAGTTTTGTTATCAAGAAAGAAAAGAACAAAGAGGAAAATAGGGTTTGGGAGAGGAGAAGAAGAATAAGAGAAAATTTCTTCAAGTGCCAAATTTCCCAAAAATTTGGTTGAAGTCTCTTAAAGTTGCTCTTAATCTAAGGTAAGGGTGGGGTTCTGACTCTATAATAGGGTGTATGATTAATAGTATGTGAATTTGAGTTATGAAAATTATTTCTAATTGTGTTTGAAATTGGTATATTGATGAAAATGAGAGATGATTTAGGACCCAATATATATATATATATATATATATATATATATATATATATATATATATATATATATATATATATATATATATATATATATATATATATATATATATATATATATATATATATATATATATATATATATATATATATATATATATATATATATATATATATATATATATATATAAGTACTTTAGTATTTTCTATGCAAAATTCTATAGCTTGCTACTGTTACGTGAGATGAAGTGGTAATTGGAGGCACTTGTTTGGCGGTTACTGTAGCGGTAAAAAGAAGTAGCACTTAAAGGCATATGTTTTGCTATACAGTAGCGCATGGAATGAATTAACACTAAAAGACATTTGGCTTGCTACTGTAGCAATATTAGAAAGTAGTATTAGAAGCATTTGTTTTGGCAATACAGTAGCGCAAGAAAGAAGTAATATTTAAATGGCATTTAACTTGCTTGCAGTAGCACAAGAACGACGTAGTATTTAAAAGCAATGGGTTACAATACTGTAGCGTAAGAATGAAATATATTTAATGGCATATGCTTGCATTACTGTAGCGTTGTGCAGAGGTAGCATTTAGAAGTAATTAACTTGCTTATTGTAGCGATATAAGATGAAGTAGTACTAGGGAGAAGTAGCTTGCGTACTGTAGTGATGAATTGAAGTATTATTTAATGACAAATGGCTTGCATATAGTAGCAATGAAAGGCATGTGTTCTGAATACTGTAGCGCAGATAAAGAAGTAGTATGTTGGAGGCAATTGTTTTACACACAGTAGCGCTGTGATGAAGTGGCATTTAGAAGTAATTGCTTGCAATTCTGTAGTGCTATTATGAAGTAACACTTGGAGATAATTGTTAGCATAAATACTATGGCCACTGTACTCTGATATAAATAATAATTTGGTATAGAATAAATATTAGATATACCGTAGCTACTACCTTCCGGTTTACAATACAAAATATTTAATGATAATGATTTAATATCTTTAATAAATAATTTTGTAGGATTTATAAAGTAGAAATAATAGAATTTTTGGCCGATAATTAATTACCCGATTTTAGCCAAAATGGTCCGAATAATTATACGGCTTATTGTAGTAATTTTTGGTTGATCTGTTGGGTGGTATTTTTGTTGAAAAATATGAATTAGCAGGTGATTTCATTGCCTTTATTTATGGGCAAAATATTAAGTTCCAGGCATATAGCCAATGTTGAATTAAGTTGAATTATTATTGTTGTTGTTGTAATTGTTATTACATTCATGTCGTTAATGCATACATAGCATATCATGTTGGAGCTGATGCTCGTCAAGTTGGCCTGGATTGGCAAATGTAAAGTTGAAGGCTTATGCCTTGTTGATGCCTCTATTTATTGGTAGGTTTCTAAGTTGAGAGTTCTGTTCCATTGATACCACATGCATGTGCATAAAAACGAGTCGCATTTCATGTTGCATTCTGAGTTGTTATGTGGATGAATTAATTATGTTGAATGTTGATAAAAGCTGTGAAGTGTGAATTGTATGATCTAATTCTAATATATTATTTATTGTATATCCGATTATATGGTTCAATATCTCACCCCTTCCGTTTGAATGTTTCCCTTTATTGGTAATGTGCAGGTAATCAAGAAGGTTAGCTGTTACCCTCGTTAGTTTGAGTCGGTGTTATCGCTCTGATACATAGCACTCGGGGGAATGAACACATGTTTTCTTTATTGTTGATTTTCATTATGTTGCTGAATTTTTAATTTGTTTTCATCAAAGACTTGTTGTCTTAAAGTTGTTTTGAGTTGGATAAGATGTTATGGTGTGTTCAGTTGAATTTTGTGAATCCGCTGCGTGGTAATGAAAGTTGTTTTTATTTTTAAAGAATAAGCTGGTTGTTATCGGTTCATCTGAAGCTCATGTGTTATGTATCTGAACTTTAGATGATTGAATGTCGTAGTTTTAAGTAGAAAGTGTAGCATTCCATTTGTTTGTTGAAAATTTTTATAACTCTGATTTTATTTCACTCGTTGGGTAAAAATGGGGTGTTACATTAGTGGTATCAGAGCAAGTTGATCCGCCCCGTCAGGTGGTCGAGTCGTAGCTTTGTCTAACAATTGAGTATTGTTAATGTTAGAACATAGTTTGATTCTACAACCCTCAGTTAGAGTTTTGTTGATAAAAAAATACAAGATTAAATGAATAATGAGTTTTATATAAGACATAGATGCTACTTAAAATTATGTTGTGTATTTACAGGAAACTCTGATGTAATCAGCATCAGAACATCAATATCAACATCAGCATCAGAAGATCAGTACATGTGCTACGCTGAAGCCTGATGAACAGAATCTGCTCTTAACATACTCTGACTCTGATCAAGATCTTAACCATATCATCAGCACTCAGAAGCGCCAGAATAAGCTAAAGCCAAGAACACTCTGACTGTCATCAAGCATAACATTCTGAAGTGTCAACGTTACTGCATTCAAGGTAGATTAATTACCAACGACTTTATTCTAAGACAAAGATCTTCTCAAAAAGGAAAGAACGTTATGAGCATTGAAATGGAATTATAGACTGCAACGTATCTATTCCAAGGATATTTAAACAAATCAGTGAGAAAAGAAATGGCTAATACTCTACAATTCTCCTACACGCACATACGCATAAGCCAATCATCTTCACTCATCAGTTTGCTAAAGCTCTCAACCGCTTACTCTATAGCTCTAGCAATCTAGTTTCACATAAGCTTCATATTATATATTATCACAATTGTGATATATAGTTTTTATAGAAAACATCAAGCACACAGTTTGTTCATTTATTTGTAAAAGATTTCCTTGAGAAACCGGTCTGTGGTTAGACTCAAGAAGGTTTTACCAGTTGTTAAAGTAGTTTTGTATTCAGTTGAATATAGTGGATTAAGACCTCGTTGGAGAGAGGCGAAATCACCTTGACGGGTGGACTGGAGTAGTTTGAGATCAAACGAACCAGGATAAAAATAACGTGTTGTCTGCATTTGATTTCAAGTTTCAACAATTCAACCCCCCTTATTGTGTTTTTCACATCTTCAATTGGCATCAGAGCGCCTGGTTCTGAGTTCATAACACTTAACCGTGTCAGTACAAGATCCAGCGTTAGAAAAACACAATGGCAGGACCACATCAAAACATCAGCAATGACAACAATGAAGAAAGAGAAAGATTCAGTGGAAAACCTCCAGTCTTTGATGGAGAGAACTTTGATTACTGGAAAGACAGAATTGAAAGCTTCTTTCTAGCCCATGATGCTGATTTGTGGGATATGGTGACAGATGGATACACGCACCCAGTGAATGTAAGTGGTCAGAAGATTGACAAGAAAGCAATGTCTGATCAACAAAAGCGTGATTTCAAAAATCATCATAAGACCAGAACAATTCTTCTCAGTGCCATCTCTTACTCTGAATATGAA